AAATATTTTCGTTATCCGATATGAACGGATATCTAATTGAAAATCCGCTGAATTTTTTGAACGGATCCAAGCACTACACGGACTAATTTAAACTATTTTCCGCTAAATAAATTTTATTTCCCGACACTTTTTGATAATCTATTATAATTTTCCTCCCCGAACCCATTACCTCTATCTGTGGCTTTTTTATACCAAGATAATGCTTCATCCTTACTTTTCTCAACTCCTATTCCATTTTCATAACAATACCCAAGACTACACATACCACCAGTATCTCCTTCAATATAGTTATTCGGATCACCTCCGGCAGATTTTAAATACCATTTAAAAGCTTCTCTATTCGCTTCATCTTGATTAATATTATTAATACCGATCATTTTTTTATAACAATGTGCTAAATGACACATACCAACAAGATTCCCAGCATTGGCTGATTTTTTATAATATTCAACCGCTTTTTCATGATTCTCTTTAAAAATATTTCCATAACGATAATGATATCCAACCTCAAATAATCCACCACCATCACCTTTTTCTGCAGCTTTAATATACCAATTTAACGCTTCATTTTTATTTATTTCAACACCGATTCCTTTACTATAACAATAACCAACATGGCATAATGCCGGTTCATTGCCTTCATCCGCAGCTTCTTTATATTTCTCAAATGCTTTGTTATGGTCTTCTTTTGTACCAATCGCATAACGATAACAATGGCCAAGAAGAAACTTTGCTTTTATGAATCCCATCTCGGAAGATTCTTGATAACATCGAAAAGCTCTAAGTTCATCTTTAATAACATTTTTTCCATGTTCATAATTATATCCTTCCCAAAATTTACTCTCAGCTTCGTTCATAGTAAAAAAGGAAAATAAATAAATAAATAATATTTTGATTAAATATTTAAATATTCCAAATAATTAACGTTAAAACGTTAAATGACAAAAATATTTACGTAATTAAAATATGAAATTATTGGTGTTCTCTGTAATACAGATTTTATAAAATTAAACCTGCAATGGAATAATTATGCAAATTACACTAACACAGTAAAACGACGCATTTAAATTCGTGTAACTTGTCTAAATTTGCACTTTTATTAATAAACTTAGCTTGATGAATTCGATCAAATATATAATATTGTATATTTTCGGGGCGCGTTATTTTGAGTCAAGAAACAAATTAAAAAAAAATGGGAGTTTCGAAATAATGCCCATGTGCGTATACGACTTCATAAATAAATTATATTGCCAAAACGCTGTTTTTAAGGTATAATTGATTTATTAAATTTTAGCATATAATTTGTTCAAGGACATATATTTCCACTTTGCATAGAGGCGATTAAGAATAAATGTGGCGCGGTTAATTAAAAGGGCTTATGGCATTTTTTGCAAAAATGAGTTAACTATATTATCATATAAAGCAGGCATTCCTCCATGTAATTTGATATTTAAAATATCAGTTTAAATAATAAATTTTTGTCGATGCCTACTTTTTTAAATGCAAAATACAATTAGATGTGATCTAAAGTCAGAATTTGTCAATCATTGCTGCGAAGTCATAGAAAATCGTTCAAGTGATTGGCTAATTTATATCGATACAACAGATTATACTAATAACTAGGGTTTTAATTCATCTGTTTCTATTTTTAGCCAAAATGGGAAAAAAGCCATAATAATAACGATAAGCCTTTTTAATTGACCGCGCACCAAATGATCTATACAGTACTGCTATTTTAAATTTTTAATGTCTAGTGATTGATTGATAGAACTTATTAGTATTACAATTTAGCAAAGCCCGGTTCTCAAACAAGAGACTCGCAAAACTCGAAGAGTAAAGTGTATCTATACTATTATACAGTTTGCAGTGTTAATAAAATCTTAAATTTTATTAATAGATACAGGTTAAACTCTTTTCTTTATAATCCCAAGCCCAAATTCTTACTAAATAATACGTATGCCTAAAAACCGAGAATTTATGCTCTAAGTAGTCAGAAAAGAATAGAAAAAAGTATATGATAAAAGTATATATGTTAAGGGGAATGATATGGTTTAAATTAATTGTCATTAAAAAAATAAAAAAAAAAAACAGCAAAAACTAATTCTTTTTGTTTAAGTTTTAAACGGATTTATACTAGATTATCACTGGTAAAATAAAAGAAGTTTTTAACAATATGGCATAAAGTCAATTTTATCGGTTGTTTCGATCTATTCACCTTCAAACCTTAATCCTTCAATGACCGTATCATTGTAATCCATTAACTTGATACTTTCGGCACGGTTAGGTACTTTTCTCTCCATTGACAACGAAGAATGGAAATTCGGAAATTCCATGATTTGTATGTTGAGAAACATTTTTTTATATTATCACGAGCAAAAAGTGAAAATCCGAAAATTAGGCGTAGTAAATCCCGTGATCAAAAATCGTGAATGAGGGCTGAGTGCTTAGTCATCGTCAATAGATATCCCAGAAATGATGACGTAACGCGAGAAAAGAACGTTCACGAAGAATAGATTGTAAAGATTGCAATCCTGAATACGGTTGACGATCGGGATCGAATCACATGATCACGAGACTTTCGAACCAACGCGAACTTAGCCAAAGCACAAATTTTTTTTATTATTCTTACAAATTAATTCCTCCTTCAATTTAGAATAAAACAAACGGACGTTTATTCTTTGAGCATCTTTGAAATTTTCTTTCTTATTTAATAAACATGGCTAATTTTTACAATCGCCCTGTAAATTTATCATGCTTTTGTCAAAAAAACCCCGTCATCAAATAATCATTTTTGAATCATTTATTACTTTAATTTATGAACTTTGAACTTTGAAATAATTGAACACTTTGCGCAAATTCATTAATATTTGCTATTTAAGTTCGCAATATGCACATATTGTTTTACCCATAACTGTATAATAATAATCATACCGCATTTTACAAAAAAAGTCAAAAGATACGAAATAACGATATCGTTTGACTAATATATTCATATGCAGTAAAATCTTGTGTCATAACTAAATTTTTTATTGCGACATCACACAATAATAATTTCTACTAAATTACGTTATCTAATTAGCATTGAGATTATGTAAAATTGTGTCTTCGACATTTTTTGTTAGTGCGCCAAGATAGGTTTAGACTGTTATTAAGTTATACACAAATGACTGCTTCGTTGCCAATTCAAACCATAAAACCATTTGGTCATTAAATATGGTATATATTCATATATTAATATTTTTTTTGAATTATTTACATTAATTCGTATTTATATTTTTTTGGTTCATTAAGTCGATTAAAATTTACATATTTAAACTTCAGATGACTTCGCTTTTATATCAATTTTCATTCGTCTGCGAATCAAAGAAATATAATATATTTTATTTGTAAAAATATAATATTATTCTCGATGTTACGGCATATTGATTTTAAAGTTCACTTACTAGGAAATACATCATCTGAAATAAAAAAATATTCCAAATTTGGTGATGCCGTTAATTCTAAAAAAAAATAAAAAATACAGCATAAGATGAGAATTGACAAACAAATATTTTTTTATAAAATATTCAGAAAAATTTACCGTCTGAATTTTTTGGTTCTGGAAGATTTTTCAAGTTAAGATCATTGGTAAGGAGCCGACTGGTATATATGGCGTCCGAATCTTTTTGTGAATTTGATGGATCTGAAATCATTTTATCCGCATTTATATATTCATTTCTTATTTTGTTATACTCTTCTCTCCCTATACCATGAAGCCTAAATGTATCGCACCAATATTTTATCAATTCAAAACATTGGTTTGCCGTCGGTCTTTTGGAAGGGTCTGCATCCATACATCGGATTGCCAAATCAATATAAACTTTTGGTGTTCCTATTCCAAATTTAGGACGCAAACCGTTAGATATATGTATAGCAAGAGAAGAATCATGTGGAACCCCTAAATGAGGTGGTTTTCCTGATGAAATTTCAGTCATGATAATTCCGAAACTATATATGTCGGCAGCTGTTGTATATGGTTTTCCACATAAGACTTCTGGAGCAACGTAAGGCAATACACCATAGATTGCATTTCCTTCAGGTTCTGCATCGGCAGGACCAGTCAATCCCATATCTGAAATACAAGGATAATTTTTATCGAGTATTAAAATGTTTCCGTGATGAAAATCACGATGTACGTTTCCCTCTTTATGAATCAAAATTAATTCATTAGAAATCCTTTCTAAAAAAAATAATTTTTTTTTCCAATTAAATTCTTTAAAATTTTTAGTAATATATTCATGAAGATTGCCACTATCTGCAAATTTTAAAACCATCACGTAATTTCTTGTAACCGGTTCTTGTGTTAAACCGTATAATTTAATAGATGAATATTTATGCTGAAATTTAACCTAAATTGAAAAAAAAGATCTTTTAATTATATGATATTCAAAAGTGTTCAAGATTATAATAAATAAATAAATAAATAATCGATAATTTACTTCTTTCATTACTTTTTCTAATAAGGAACCTGGGATATTTTCAGATTTATCAAACATTTTAAGTGCAACTTTTAGTTCTTCACCCCTTTTCTCTCCTTCTTCGTCTATCGATATTCTTTCCCCATCTATCCACGTAGCTGAAAATACTTTGCCAAATCCACCTTCTCCAATCATTTCAATATTCTTTAATCTGTCGTATGGAATCCATTCTACTACTTTTTCGTAACGATCCGCTGAGTCTAAGGCTCTTTGTAAAAAATCGTCGACCAAATCATTTCCAGAGCTAGCCGAATTTACAGGATCACATGGTTTACACCATGAAACATGTGAGTTATCCTGTTTGCATCGCTTACAAATTCCAAACATTATTAACGTTAAAAGCTATGAAAATATCAAAAGTAAACTTTATATATACGTTAACTAAAAAATTTGTCAAATCACGAGGCCTAAATGCACAATTTTAAATTTTTTTTTTATATTATATTCTCACCTGATTATTCAGTTCTCCAAATATAAAGTGTGCGCGTAAATGATTATCATCAGGGGCTTTCTCGTGCAACCAAATCAATACGAATAATCTTTTCTATATTGAGGTTGATTGTATAATGACGAAAAAAATAACAGTACAATACAGTACGTACCATATATCTCATGTATAGTAAATACGCATATCAAACTGATATCGTTATAACTTGATCCTAACACTTGAACGTAGACTATCTGGCAATCTAAAAACATTTCTCGTCATTTTTCAATAATAACTTATCGTTAATTATTTCAAAACCAGATATCTGTCAAAATATAATTCTATTCAAAATAGCGTGATTAAGCTTAGTAAACTATAGTTTAATAAATAATGATTTAAAAATCAAACTTTTTAAAGTCAATTATGATGTGCATAATTCAAAGAATTACGTTTTTTTTTTTTTATTAATAATAAATAAAAGTTAAATATCTTACGAAGCTTGAGCTTCTATAGCTTCTATAATTATATCAAATACAAATAATATCAAATTCACATGTAAATATAATGACGAATAGTGGATTTTTAAAGTTGATGAAAATAGCGCATTTCGGAAATCAGTACGTACGTACTTTAAACCTTGAATGATATGAATAGATTAAATACATAAAAAATCAAACACAGAAATAAAACAAAAATAAATTTCTTTTCAAAATTTACTAAATAGATAAAATAAAAATTCATATACTATTCTATAAACACTAACATGATTATTATTGTTTTCTTTTGGACCTGTTATAAATATTTTCTCATTGTTAATCCACTCAATAAGTGAGTCAATATTAATATGATTTATATTATCATTAAGAGTTTCTTTAAGTTTAATGATCTTTGATTCTTTTTCTTCAAAATTTGGGATAGTTTCAGTATCAAAGTCAACTGTTGATACAGTTAAAATTAATACTTTATTGGCCAATTTAAGATTTTCTTTATTTCTTGTGAGATCAGAATCAGTATCCAAATTTCTGAGTATATATTTAGATGGCAAAATTCCATCTTCAGCATATCTATTGTTTATGTAATATCCATCAATTTTAATGGTTTGTTTTTTGTTATCCAAAGCAGCATCTAATGATGCTCTTTCAGTTCCTGTCTGATCTCCAGAAATAATTATAGTATTAGACATAACAAAATTTAAGATTATTTTTTTTATTAAAATTATTATTTATATAAAAAATTTAAAACAATATTATAATATTTTAAATTGTTTTAGGGCTGAAAATTTTAATTTTTAATAAAGTAAAAATTTAGATGATCTATGAATTTAAATTTTTTTTACGAAAAATTGTTGATTTTTAATATTGTTTATTTTTAGCAATGATTTGATAGATTAATCATTTTTAGAAATAATTTGGTATACAATTTATAAACAATTTATTTATACAATAATAATAGTTTAAAAAAGCAATCAAATTTTTATATATAAAAAAAACATTTATCATAAAATATATACAATATAATATATACTACAGTAAATTATACAGTATTTACTCCAAAAACTTAAATTGTTTTCTAGCTAAAATATAAATAATATTTTAGAGTTTAATTTTATACTCAGTATAATGTTATTGATAACGATACTATTATCGTATAATCAATACGTAACGGTAATGTAAGACAAACCGTTAATATTAAGGGGCATCCATAATAATAATAATTTACGTTAAACCGGTATTGTTATAGATCTTAAAGATATTACAAAAATATATAGTATTATTTTCAAGGTCTCTATTTCTATACCATGCAATAACGTAAATTATGGATGCCCCCCTTCGGAGGCTGTCTAAAGCCAGGTAGTTTAAATTGATTACTGACAAAATTTTAAATTAAAGACCACGTGAAACATATAAATTACAACCTGGCTTTAGACGATCCCCCTTATCGTAAAACAATATAATGTTTCATCGAACGTACGTATGGGCGTAGCATTTTTAAAAATTGGATCAACATACGTATGATAACAGATAATTAAAGAAACCAGTTTATTTCTAATTAAGTTTCGTCCTTTTGCATCAGCCCCTTACATAGCCTGTACATTACACATGACCCAATTTGCATGATTAAAAGTCTTTGAATGCTTTATCTGATATCCCACCAATGGAAAACAAAATTTCCTGAGCATATTGATCTTTTATCTAACAGCAATAACATCGATAAACCTTATTTCTGCATTAAAAAAAAAATTGTTACGTACGTAAGCACGCACAGCATTAGATTAAGAATATGCTTGACGTTGTATCAGTAATTTTGCTTTATCGTATTCAATTTGTTAAATATCAAGTGACGTCAAAAGTATTGCATACAAA